TGATACTTTCTCAGTTTTCAGGAATCGCGATTTGTAGTTTGAAATTCTTGGAAATTCAGATAGTGCCACCTCTTTGCTGATCATGTTCTCCTGATACTTTCTCAGTTTTCAGGAATCGCGATTTGTAGTTTGAAATTCTTGGAAATTCAGATAGTGCCACCTCTTTGCTGATCATGTTCTCCTGATACTTTTGCAGTTTTTTTGGGAATCGCGATTTGAAGTTTCAAATTCTTGGAAATTCAGATAGTGCCACCTCTTTGCTGATCATGTTCTCCTGATACTTTTCCAGTTTTCGGGATTCTCGATTTTCGTGATTTAAAATTGCAAAATTTTACGTGAATTGTATTATATTATTTCAACCCATGAAATTATTATTGTATATTCGTGTGAAACTATTCATTTTTGATGTTTCCATTCTAGGGAAAAGTTATATGATCGCTACCTAGGTATTCCTACGTCTATGGAAAGACTGCAAAGTCGAGTGACATTTTCGTGATGAAAGTTGGCAGAATTGTGCATTATCAGTTGCCAACAAAACGACCTGGATCTGGTTGGATCACGACGACGACGACGACGACGACTCCCACTTATCTACGGACGTCTGAACGGTTATCATGTCTGTCAGCCGTGTGTCGCAGGTTTTATTCTCGCGCGTGTCTCACGCGGCTCGCAAACCACAGCAATTCGTTACGCCCGCCATCAGGTATTATTCCTGTAAGTATCCAAATTAGAATCCCTCCTCCGTCGCGTCGAGCATCACCGGCCAGCCGGCCACGACGTTTCTTTCTTGCGGAACACCCGGTATAAACGTTACTTTGTGCTGCCAGAAAACTTGTTTTCGTGCCCATACATAAGGAACTTGTTTGCGTAGTGCACATGCTGCCTATTAATGTCTCAATCAAGATATGACATCAAGATAAATTCCTTCTGATAATTTTTTTTAACGTCGCGCGTGTACATTTCTGTACGTGTAATTTTTAATCCGCAATATTTAAAGAATCACGCGCGATTATTTGCTCTTTATTGATAGCAAGTGTTGCGTCACGAGACGTCCTTCGTTTCATGTTAAAATACCACAAGTCATACCGGGCAAATATTTGCGTATCTCGAAGAGAATGCAAATGTCATTCGTACTTGTGCGGATTTTGAAATGTAGAACGATATCTCGTATGACGAGGCGATCTGTGTAGTAACGTTCAGGGGGTTAATCGAGATTAAATGAGCCAAGTAGCAAACATATCGTTTCATTATGTTCCTGCGAACGCATGACGTGGGTCGCGCAAAGCGTCTTTCGGTCAATATTTCCAAGTTTTGCAAATTCTTTAAGACAGAATCTTCAAGTTATTATTCGCATTCGACCTGTAGTTAACATATAATTCTATACCTAACATCGACATATTCACGCTTGTACTTTGATACTTTCTAGACAATTCAATTTGTACAATTGAACATTCGAAAATCTTAAAATAAAACACACGACTCAATGTTAAAGTGATATACTGAATATTAAACGGATAAAGTAAGATAAAATAAGATAAAATGAGGTAAATAAGATAAAATAAGATTACAAGATAAAGTTATGTCCACCGGGCATTAGTAGGCATTGGCGTACATGATTTTGGTCGGTTTATCCCTCGAAATTTGCTGATAAAACGTATTAAAAGTTTTGACTTACCAAGTTCTTTCTAAAAAGACACCCTGTACACGGAACAGACCTTGTTAGTCGGAGCTCAATGCGAGTATTCCTGCGGTTATCTCCATGATGATGATCGTTCTCAATTGCATAATATAAAAAGAAGATATTGATAATGATAAAATTACAATTCTTAAATGCCTGATAAATAAATTATTATGTTTCAAAACACTGAACGTCGTTAATATTAATTCTATCAAAAGTTTTGATAGAATTAATATCTTTTGATTCAAAACGCATGGTGCACAAACAATGTACATACTAGAAAAATAGTGTTTCTTTTTCGTTTCACGAAGTGTGTTATTTAAATACAATTATCAATCATATCTTTCTCTAATAGCGCGTTGATCACGAGACACGGTAGTGTCTCGCGCCAAGTGTAAGCGTAGCTAGTACACGCGTGCGAGACCGACCGTGTTATATTCACAAGTGGTATGCATATCATGTGGCGAGAGCAAGCCTGTTATATTATAACTTAAAAAATCGCATCTCGGCTATGCATTTGCAACGTTGGAATTAGACTTTTTACCGTAGTAGAAATTTTGTTATTTACTGAATAGTCGAAATTTCATTACAGTCGAAAATCTTACATATTAATTTTTTGAACTCTGTGCAGCGATGATCTCATTTATGCTGCTATCTCAAAAATTAATCAAGAGCTAATCATTATTTCTTTTTAATAGAAAAAAAAATCTTTTCATTCCTTTTAATTAAAAAAAGTATTTTCTGATTTACAGGTCAAGCTGGCAGTTACGAGTTTATTAAGGTGGAGACTGCGGGTGAAAAGAAGAATGTAGGCGTTGTCAGCTTGAACAGGCCAAAGGTCTTAAATGCTCTGTGCGATCAATTAATGTGTGAAGTAAATCATGCCTTGGAACATTTAAATTCAGATGCATCCATCGCCGCCATCGTTATTACCGGAAATGAAAAAGCATTCGCTGCTGGTAAGACGGTGTTTGCAAGACGAACTTCATTTCACGTATAATATTTTATAGCAGTATAACGGCAAATTAAACGGACATTATTCTTGGCGCCTTTATTATAATATAGAGACATGTACTTGCACGTATATTCGTCATTCTCATAGGTGCCGACATCAAGGAAATGAAGGATAATTCATACGCATCGAACCTGAGGCAAAACTTCATATCTCACTGGAACGGAGTTGCCAAAAGCAGGAAACCTTTAATCGCTGCTGTCAACGGTTACGCTGTAAGTAACGGAGCTTATCTTTGGTAGAGCATTACCGAGAGAGAAATGCAACGAATCACTCGATAGTATGCATTTTTGTATTGTAGCTGGGTGGAGGGAACGAGCTCGCAATGATGTGTGACATTATTTACGCCGGCGAGAAAGCCAAGTTCGGCCAACCAGAAATCGCTATCGGTACGATTCCCGGAGCAGGCGGCACCCAGCGGCTACCCAGGGTCATCGGCAAAAGTAAGGCGATGGAAATGGTACTCACTGGCAACATGATCTCCGCGGAGGAAGCAGAGAGAAGCGGTAAGTTCGCACGTTAACAGAGATCGGAGATAACATTTTATTGCAATCGAAAGGAATGTAAGTATACGTTCTATTGAAATTACTTATATATTTTAATGTTTATTTTATACGAATTATCTTGTTTTTCTTTTTTGATGATTACTTATCAATTTTAATTTTGTATTATTGTATTATTATTCATATTTTTCATAAAATTTAAATGTTAAGATTGAAGAAAATAAAATGAGCTAATAAACCTAGTCAATTCTTTGTATTTGTTATTTAAATAAGTATAAAAATTATGTGTCAAACGTTTAGTGCGCTGATAATGACCAACGATAATGAACCAATGATACTTTGAACAATGAATAAATTGTTAAAGTCAAAAGGTGCAACATTACTTATAAAATTTGCAAGCGTTTCAACGAATGTAAATTTGCGTTCGTTTTTAACTCTAGACCATCTCTGACTGAAGATGATCTTATTACAATTCAAAAATTTGACACGTCATTATTTATATTTATTTAGATAATAATATATAATAAGCATTAAAAATAGCACGGTTTATTGGCCTGATTTATTTCCTTAGATTTTAATCAACCAAGTCTCAAATTAGTTTGATTTTTAACTTTTTAAAATTAAGTCTTGTATTTTTTATCTCATTTATCTAGGTTTGGTCAGCAAAATCTTTCCAGCTGATAAACTCGTCGAAGAAGCCATAAAATTGGGCGAAAAAATCGCATCTCACTCACCGTTGGTTGTGACGATAGCGAAGGAAGCTGTAAATGCTGGTAAAAGATATTTAAGAGATTGCATAAGTAATTCGATATAATCCAAATAGACGCGTGACGTATCTAAGTACAATTTCTTAATTTTAGCATACGAAACTACATTGCAGCAGGGACTTCTGTTTGAAAAGAGAATGTTTCACAGCACTTTCTCCCTGGTAAGAATTTCTTCGTAATCATCAGCAATACAAATAATTAATGAAAAAAACGGACTTACTAAGTTAAAATTGTATTTCTTTTTTTTTTCAGGCGGATAGAAAGGAAGGAATGACGGCTTTTCTGGAAAAGCGCACGCCGATTTATACAAATCAGTAGATTCACCTCTACCTGCAAGGGAAGAGATGCAAAGTGTTAATGAATATTTTTGAAGTTATTTTTATACATTTTTGTAAGGAGAATTTATGTAACATGTCTTTCGCTTAGCTGACTGACTTTATCAAACCGAACTTCCATCGCTATCGTCACAACCAACGGTGAGTGAGATGCGATTTTTTCACCTAAGATCTTCCTGACCAAACCTAGATAAATAAGATAAAAAAGATGAGACTTAATTTTAAACAGTAAAAAAGTAAAACTAGTTTGAGACTTGGTTGATTAAAATCTAAGAAAATAAATCAGGCCAATGAACTGAGCTATTTCTTAATGGTTGAAACTTCCTCTCTCTTTCTCTCTCTCTAAAAAAGAAAATGTTCGTCAGTTAAGAGATTAGATATGAAATATTACCCGTTATATTTGTTACAACATATACATATGTATGTTGCAATAAACTTTTGCAAGAAACGATGCAATAAGTGGCGTAACGTCTAACTGCAAGAACAAGTGGAACGTCTAAATGAGACTTTTATTCGATACGAGTATATTACTGCTCTTACATAACGTGGATTTCGAGTATGATACATTTAAAGCTAAGATATAGCGTTGCAGTTAATATTAAAAGGAATAATAATAATTATTATTACTATCATAGTAGAAAGTGAAGATTAGATGAGAATATGTGAACCGTTATCGATGTCGCGAATGACGATATCTATAATACTAACGAGATACCTCGAAAAACGGTAGGAACAACAGGATTTCGGTAAATGTCAACATAGCTTAAGTTAAAGTGTATAGCGGAAAATGCAATGCGTCACACTTAAACAACGTAATAATCCAGTAAGTTCCTTACGCGTATGCGTACATGTTTCTCATAGATGTGAAGCCTGTGAATTTCCGTGGACTTTCGGTAAAGGTAGTTAAAAAATATTTGACTTTCGAGTTCGTTACAAAGAAGCGATATCAAATTTTGTCAGTAAGAAAATCGACCGGGTCTCACGGGTACACGTCTTAGCGTCGTTGACTAGCTAATACTAACCGGTGCGCACACCGTACGCGTCACTTTTACGCTTATTAAATCACCCATAACTGCCTCTGCCGCATTCTTACATTAAGAGAAATTATACTAACTAATCTTAAATACTACACGCACACATTCTCGTGTTTCGCTGCCTCTGCTTTTACTCTTTACACTTCCTTTAAGTACGTGTCAGAAGATGGGAGTTACATTATCGGGCACATCGATCGTTACATTTTGGGTCGACAAGTTTTAAGAAGTTCCTTCGATATTTTAAAAGAATATATATACAGCGAAATTTTTTGGACGATCCCTAAACAGATCTGCTGGTCCTAGCTGCACTTTTCCCCTCATTTCTCTGTTTTTTTTTTCAAACCTTGGACGTATAACCACGTCATTTTTAATAAGAAGATTGCTAAAACTGCATTTGCGAATTATCATTTCATTGTTTTAATATCAATTGCTAGTCTAAATACTTGGTATCGCTACCGAGAAGTCGAGGGCCCTGAACGCCAAGTAACACCAGGTTTTGTTTTTCTTTAAAATGGAAAGTACATGCGTCTTTTGTATTTTACAAATTGAATCCTTATCTGAATTTTTCTTATTTAATAATTTAAGAAAGATATTTTGTCGATCTTTCAAGGTCCGCAATAAATACGTTAGGTGATATGTCGTGATAGCAAATGATAAAAACGGTGGTCCGAAATTTGTACAAATTTTTCAATCTCTTGGTCCTCGGTTTTGTGGGCGGATCGAATTTCGGGAACCTCTTAAAATTCGACGGATGGATTGTCTTGTAGGGAGAGGGAGAGGTGAAGATGAATTGGTTTTTTTTTTATGTATATCACAGTTGCAAGCTCTGCCTCGTTAATTACGCTGGTAAAAATTATCGAGATTATCGGAGAATATGAAGTATCGGTACTCTCTCCTCGCGCTGGGGTCCCTGTCGCGGATTTACCGTTTATTGCGATTCTTCATGGTGAAGCGTCTCCAGAAGTTGCCGCTCTTCTTCGTGGGCGTCGCGGTGGGCGCCTCGTACGCGTAGCTGGACTCATCATCCGTATCCTGGGCGCTGGACGCCTCTCTGGTCGGCGAGCCACCGTGTCCCGAATCCCTATCGTCCGTCCCATTTTTCTCCAGACCTGCAAGATACGAGTTTACCAAAAGCCAAAGCAGAGTACATCTCTCTTTTTTTTCTTCGCTAAAACTTGAGATACAAAATTTGTGTAGATCTTATTTTGTACAAATTTACTCTTTGCATCCAATTTGATTTTTGATAGTCAGTTCTCAGAGACTTGGGAAATATTCATTTCTTTTTCTTAACGAAATATTACAATATCTTCTTAAAGAAGTTATATAAATTCCGATGATGTTTAAATACAAAGTCATTCGCTCTGAGATCTTAAGACGAGATATACTAAATTGTAATAAATTATCTTTTAATCACACCCCGAAGAGATCTTGAAGCAATTGGAAATAAAGGAACGCTCTAAGTAGTGGCTTATTACCGCTAAAAATATGACTGTCATTCAGGGATCAATTTTAAGAAAAATAAAAGATATCTCACCGCCACCGCGCAGCATGTCGAGGAACGTGCTCTCAGCATTGCCACGTGTGCGCCCCTGCTTTTGGGACGGCGTGCCGAAGCTCAGACTCTGCATATTGATCTCCGCCTTGAGCTGCTCCGGCGGTATGTCGTCCACGCGGAACTCATTCGGGTCCTCGACGAAGGCCTGCTGCAGGTCGCGCATGATCTTCTTGCGTATGGTCTTCTTCATTGAGAGATGCCGCTCCAGGTGCTTCACGTCGCTCTCCGTCAGCGTCTTGCTATTGTCGCGGCGGCGCGACTTCTTCTTCTTGCTGTTCTTCGGGCTCTCCTCCTCGCCGGACGTCGAGCCCACCGACACGGCGCTATCGTGACCGGGCGCCTTGTCCTCGGCCTGGCCGCGAGCGTTCTCCCATTTGCTGCCGAAGCCGAAAATGTCCCGCAGATGGGGGATGTTCCGGTCCACGGTCTGCTGTCGCGCCATGGCGATTTCGGCTCGTGTGAATGGCAGGGGTGACTTCGGATGGCAAGAATCACCCTCGAGCTGCCCTTCTTTGCGATTTCCTCTCCTGAAAAGATCCGAAAGATACAATTAGCATATATCGATGCGAAATTAAATAAAAGCGACTGAGTAAATTTGACGATAATATTGCGGAAAGAAACTTCGCTACGCTGTGGTGGTGCGTCTACGAAGAAATATCGCGCCATGAAATAATAAAGTTCGTGCGATTCGAGAGTTTCGGGCTTGTTCGCGGCCGATCCCTGCGATCGATATCGGCGATCGCGCGCCCACGTTTTCCTTCTCCGCCGTGCTTTCCTCCGCCACGAGGAGTCTCGGTTTTATTTATAACAGCTCGAGTGTAGTACCGGCCCACGAGAATTCGACCGAGATGATCGTATCCTCGCGCTGGCACTACATCCTGAGTGTCGTGAATCTTTGATGTTATCGGGGGTTTGTTCTTCCAGCTTTATAATCCGTGCTTACAATGATATTTCGTATTCCCTTGGAAGTTCAAGATTTACGATCTTTCCTGTCTCGTTGTCTTTTCTGTACTTCCTTTTTCCAGCAAAAATCTACAAACAGTGTGCCTTTTCATTTCCTTAAATCACTTCCAATATATCCGAATTAATTGGGTAAAAATAAAAATTAGTCACTTCGAAAGACCGTTTACGAAATCGTCAAGCCATTATAGCTGCGGCTTGTATTTTTATCTCGCGATTAAATCTCCAAAACTGACACGAGCCGAAATGCGCGAGCTGGACCCACGAGCGTGCACCCGGAAAAAGGTTTGTATGAATTTTGACCTTGCTAGACTTTTACTTAATTTCACAAAAATTATTTCTTTACCTCAACCAAAATTGTATTTCAACGAGACTAGAATTCCTAAGAGGATTTGTATGTATTTCTTGAAATCTCAATGTTCCAGTAGAAGTGAATAAAAATTTAGTAGATTCAAAAAAACATCATTTAAATCAAAAGGCCATTAGAGTCAAATAAGAAAGACGCGCGCGCGATACAGAATATATTTGAATTAAAAGGTAAAAAAAATCAAATTACAAAAATGCGAACGTTTCGGACCTCTTCTTCGGGTTCATCTTCGGCGGAATTGACATAACGGTGAAAGTAATTCAATGAATTACAATAGTATATAATTGTAAAAAAAAACGTGATTTCAACGTATCTCATTTGTTTAATCTAACTAAATCTTTTTTCCGGGTGTGCGCAAAAGTCTCTTCTGCCATATGGACCGTCGCCGCGTCGATGAGCTGATTTGAAGTCGCAATTGTTCGAGCACCGACTCACGTATGCAACTTGCATACTTAAAATATTATTTCGCAACGCGCGCAGGCAGCCGGTGGCTGACGGTGGCGATTTATCTTCGGCCGCCCAGCGCTCGGCCGACCGTTCTCCAGTTTTCCGTCGCAACGTATGGACCAGCGCGACGGCGCGCGTTGCGTTTTCCGGTTCGACGGAGAACTCGTTTACGAGAGGAGAAAAAAGGCCGCCCGGATATCTGCATACGGCAACCGGGATCGCGCATTGTGAGCCAGTCAGCCGCGACCTGCGACCCACGGGCCGTAAACGAGAGGCCCTGTTTTCGAGCGAACGAGAACCCTCCGGGGCTCCACGGGGCCACCCGAGGTGGAACAAAACGAAGCGAACGACGAAGAGGCGGTTTCATTTCATCTACGAATGTCTAATTGGAATGGCGCGCCGTCAACCTGGACGTAAGGTGAACGTCGGGAAAACAATTCTTTCTCCCAGGCGTCATCAGGATACCCAATTATCGGGATGTCGATTTAACGCGGCCGACACTAGCCAGCCAGATAAAAGATTTTGAGGGAGCTTATGATGCACTTGACTGCAGATAAATTGGATTCATCATGCTGGCCGTGATTCATCCGCGATATAAATTTAAGCGGCTCTCCCCCGACGTTGTGTCAGAGGGACCATAAGTCAGATCAATGTCACTGCCATGATTTTTCTTGTTGCGCGTGAGTCACTTGGTGGTTCAGGCCTTGCTCCGCATCTTGGGAAATTGCACGCGTCGACGTGCCGTGCATTTTCCCCCCCGAGTATTTATCGCGATACTCGCTCGATTACGCTCGTCGTCCATTTCATCCGAGGGCGTGCGCGCAAGGTGTTTCATCCACGTTCTCGCTTTAACGACAGGGAATTGTAAGGTGAATTTCAGTTCAATTTAAAATTCGCCGAAGCACTGTACGCCTGGGTCCTCGACAAAAGGATGCTAAGGAACCAATTGGTTTGAATTGATTCTCAAAAGAGATCAAAAAGGTGCCGCCGAGAGATGCGGGTGTGTCGCGCCTGTACTCTTCGTAACGCGTATTCTCCGCCACTGTAATCGTCGTACGCGACCACAATCGAGGTGGTTGGGCAACGAGGAGGCGAGGAACACGGTCCTCTCTCTCTCTCGCTTCACCTGGGTAGCCGCCGCCGCTTGGCAACCAGAACCGACTCGCCGCGACGAAACGAACGATACGGCGAGATACCGGTCGCCACGCCGTGAACCAGAGACCTTTCACGTTCCCTTCGCGCTGGCTCTGTTATCTAACGATGTATATATATGAGCGTTACGTTCGGTCAGCCGCCACGACGCCTAGTAAACACGATCCAAGGATTCGAGCGCAGCTCCAACTTTGTAGCCGCAGAAACACTTATTGTCCTAATCCTATGATTTCCATATAAATCAGCCGAGAAAATAGCGATGACGAAAGCTAATAACTAGGGATCTCAGTCGATCAACGATTATGAATTGCTATCTTCAAACACCGATGAAAATTGAGACAAAGTTAGGTATACGTGAAGCTACAAAAAAAAACCCGCGTAGACGGTCTTACTAGCGCGCTCCCCTTAAAAATAGGACTTGAAACCGTTTTGAAAGTTCGCCGTTTAGCGTGGTTTCTCATCTCCTCTCGGCGAAGATACCGAGGGCAGAGGCGAGCACCGGCGAGCGTCTCGAAGATTATTCTGGGAGACGATGCGTCTGGAGAGATTTCGGTACAATAACCTCCCGCACGCCCACGGGGCTAGGCATGGTGCCCATAACGCAGCGACGGGCTACGATGTACCGTAAGGCCGCCGGTGCCTTCACGCATGGTAGACCGAAGCGGGCAGGACGTGGAGAACGGGCGCGCGCCGCGTATCGATTCGCCTTCTCTACGAGCGACGCGTCCGTCGCGTCGCGTCGCGACGCGTGCATCAATATTTCCCGCATCGCGCATCCTACGAGCGTATTGACCTGGAAACGCGGCGGCCGTTCGCGTAATCAAGATCTGAATTCTCGTGGATCTGGACGAGCCGGTCTCGCGTCGCGCGTTGCGAAAGACGAGACATTTATATCTAATTCGAGTCGCCTTGCAATTCTCAAACTTGCTGGTTTGAACTTCATCTCGGCTAATAAAAGAGAGGAGGTAAGAATGAGAGAAAAAGTGGAAGAGGAGAGAGAGCTCGCTCTTTAAAACGCCATTTTTAGAAATTCATATCTCTTCGATATTTACCTTCACCCCCATCCAACTCTACACGAAGAGAATTTTCTCTCGAAACTCATCCTGAAAATCGTGTAATCGTGGGATAACACGGCATTTCCAGTTTACTAGTGAAATGTGCTCAGAAAACTCTCATAGACTTCTTCAAAATGCCATGGTAAATTTTAAGAGAAAATTCCCTCCGTCTATCAACCATTGAAGTATAATTCTAAAAAATGGAGTGTTCCAACTTTATAACATCTCACCGGTGTTTCCACCTCGCTTTAGTCAGCTGAGTCGCCCAGAGAGACCTCGAGTAATAACTTTTCCGGTGTGTCTTCGACAGATTCGCACCAACGACTACAAATACGCGTGTTCAAGCGAGGTCGGTAATATCTCCGTTATCGTAAGCACACAAGAGCCCGAGGTTAAGCCTTTCACGAGGGAATAATATCTCTCGGTGCGGTTTTTACAGACGTAACTCGGTCCAGCCTGTCGAGCTTGGAACCTTTCATTGTCTTTTTACAGTCGTGTCCTGCGTTAAATCAACAATTTTAACAATATTAGTCTCCATTATCGCAGAGGAAGGTAACATAACTTCACTGACAGCGAGTCCCGAGAGGATCGTTCAATTTTCCTGCCGCATTGCCGCGGAATAAAGCATTATTCGCGCATCAGCTTCATTTTGTTGGAACGACGAATATCAATTGCGGTGTTTACCGTGAAGAATCCCATCAATTTCCAACAAGACACCGATGCTTCGCGATCGGCATTTAACGCGGCCAATTAAATCGTCGGACGACAACAGAGGATGACTACTTGCCGGCGCGACCGGTCCTACCACTCTGTCCGCTACTGGCGACTACGAATTTTCGTGTCACGCCGCGATCGACAGCATCGTTACGAATTCATAACGACGTTACGGCCGTCCGGCGCGAGAAATTAACGACCGGAGAATGCAGGATAACTGTTATTCCTATCCTCTTCGCCATCGGCGGCGATCCCCTCGATCTATAATTTGCGGAAACGATCGCCCGAGATGCCCGGTCTCAATCCTCTTCAACTTCTTCAACTATTTAATAAAATGTCGTTTTATATGTAACCAAAGTTTGCTATTACTGTCGTCCTACTGAATAACAAAAATTTTATTTCGCCTCTTGAATATTGGAATCCATTTGATTGTAATATTAAAATTACGATTTCATAGAATTGTACTAACTTTTCAAATTACAAATGGCATTTCAATTGTTGCGTGTAATGTAGAAAATATTCTTTTAAGCAGTTGTGACATTTGTATGCATAGACAAAAGCTCAAAAGTGTCACGATGAAAAACGTAATTTTGAGTGAAAAATGATAATATAAGTACGTTCAACTGTTAACCATTGTAAGCGTTATATATTCTTACACGTTGTAGTAATTAATATAATAATAACGGAGCTACGCGCGTATATATACGTACATGTATATAAGACGTCCTACATGAAAGATGTATGAAGTACCACGTAGTACACGTTCGTGTGATCGATCGTTTCATTCGTATAGCCTTCGTGTATCGAGAAAATCATACGCGCACGGTTCGAA